TACAGGGTACAGGGTAGAGGGTGGCCTGCTCCTGACCAGAGCCATCCCAAAAGCAGGCTCCAGCTAGCCAAGCCTCCAGGTCCTCAGGCCAACCGCACTGCGCTCGCTTTGTCTCACAGAGCGGGACGGCGCATCACCACAGAAAATACGGGGGAAAGCTGGGCAAAAAAAACCCAGATTTTGCCAGGCTAATTTTTTTTTCCCGCCCCAAAAGTTCACTTATGCCGATGCTGACCGAAATGAGTTAAACAGCAAAACTGTTTCTTATTCACAAATTAAGTTAATAGAAATAAATAATCGCGGATAATTATGATTCTGAAAGCTTGCTGAGTGTCGTCCATCTTATCTCCTCATGATGCTCTCTGAGAAAAAAACCAGGAGAGTTGTTCCTTTGAGACAAATACATCTCTTATTAGAAATGCCTCTGCAGCCGAGATGCAGGCATGCTGTATGAATAAATACATACATCCCAACAACTGCTCAGAGAGAGGTGTATTATGGGGATGTTTTCAACAGTGTAGTGACAGGATTTGAATTAATCCGTTGACTCCAGCCTCAGCCGGTGAGACACCCGGCACCAGCGCATCATTTGCATTGCCACGGATTTCCGTCACTCGAGGCAAAAAGAAACAATTGGATGTTGACGCTGTGACAGCTCATTCAGGGCAATGTTTTTTTGTAAAATGGAACTGGTTTGGAAGTTGTCTGAGGTTCGTATTTTCTGTGGAACCTGTTAGTTAAAAGAACATAATATCCTGGAGAAAGAGAGTGGTCCAACATCTTTATTTGAGATTGATAGATGTTGATGTTACGATGTAGATATTTATGTATTCATGTATTTTAGAACTTCTTTAATTTTCATTAGTTTTGCCAGGTTAAACTCAGACATGGGCAGGTATAAGGATTTATTGACGGGGTGGCAGAGGTCCGAAAGGCGAAAAATAGAGGCATTTTCATGTATGCTGATGTACTTTCATGACTTATGTGCCCTATATGGCTAATAAGTGAACCCCAAGACACGTATTTGTGCTTTTAGAGGCCCCGTGTGCAGTGACAGCAGCTGTAAAAGCTGTTCTCTCGAGACAAACATCCAGACACGGTCGTTTTTTGAAGCCGAACTTTATTCCCGCTCCCCTTTAGGGTGGCGTTCATTACGAGTCTGAAGTGTTTGTGATTGGGCCCCGGAGAGCTCTCATCAATGTTTGGAAACCATCCAATAAAGTCGGGTCTGTGCTTAAAAAAAAATAAAGAAGTGTGACATTTAGCTAACAGTACTTTCATAGGCAGTAATCAGAAATATGACAGAATCTGCTCAGATGGATTGGATTTATTCATAGTGTCAAGTATTCCATTTTCATTTTGAAACCAAACAGAACTGATTTGCTTGCTATGAGTCTCTACACTTTGCAGGTAAAATGTGAAACATCTTTGCTCATCGGGGACCAGATTCCTTTTTCTCACACCCTGATAACGACATGAAGTTATATTCTCCTCCTCATGAGTCAATAGGAGATGTGTGAGTCTGTGTTTTGCCTGCCAAGTGCTCATTGAGGAGCAGTAATACGGAGAAGCTTTTGGAAGTGTCTCTCAAATCCTGTCGCTCGTGTTAACATCACGCAGCGAGATTAAACATCTCCGAGAAGCTGTTTCCATCACAGCAACCCGTGTTAAATGATAAGAGCATGATGTTAGAAGGCTGCCATGTTGCGCATGAAAGGAGGAGGAAGGAAGGGGAGATGAGATTGTGATCGTTTAACTCCCAGCTGAACAAACACACAAGCTTTTAACCCTCATTAGGGTTTGCCAAACACACAACCTCGACTAGGACTGTCACTCTGCAGTACATCACGGGTTTAAGGAGTCGGTGACCGTGAGCCTTCAAGTTTATTGATAATTAATCAGGATGTTCATCTCGGTTCTCTCTTCACCTGACACTAAAAGCTGCATTCCGGTTTTCATTAATCTCCTAAATGGTTGCTGTTTGATGTAAAACGCATCACAAATAACATTCAGACTCCCGCCTGACTGAATCAGAAAACAGTCTGCAAATATATCCTTTTCTTTACAATCGAATGAAACGCCACTCAAAGGAACTCCGCAGATTTACTCTGGTGCTCGGATCAAAAGTGATGACAGCTGTGCTTTTCGTTCACGTTCGGGCTTCTCTGGAATTGGACACCAGAGGGAAAGCGGTGAGCTCTGTTCTAATGGCAGCGAGTCACTGGGAGATTCGGTCCTTTGAGGAGCTCACAGCTCCGCAACAAGTCAGGGGCTGAAGAGGAAATGAGAGCCCTTTGTTGGCATAAAGGAGTTTTATGCTGTTCAACTTTGTTTGGCTTCCTGACATGAGGACACAATAAAAACTTCAGTTTCATTTTTTCAGTTTTTAGTCTCTACTCACTCATAACTGAGTGTTGTGGTTTCTCCATGCTTTTTCTTTGGATTCATGAGACTTGTATTTGTCTGGTCTTGTTTTTTTTCTTCTTTTTCTTTCATCCAGCTGCAGACACCTCCCAGTTTGTTGGCGCCAGAATTTATTCCCGTCAGATTCTCGCTCTTTACTTATTCTATGTATTCTCTGTAGCCTGTTCATTGCTTGTCTGGTTTCACCATCTTCATCTTTTTCTATTAGTTGTTTTCGCAATTTAATTCACATGTTTTTTTGCTGTTTGCATCCTCATATCTCTATGATCCATCAACAATCTGGGGAGTTAATTAGTAACGTAACTTATATTGAAATTGGAATATATGAAATTTTTGGTTTTACCGACTAGATTTACAAGATGAGTCCTCATGGTTGAAATACAAAAAACATGTGGGATACTGAACTTATATATAAGAAAGTCTCCAGAAGAGACTGAATATTTCATAAACAGAACTTCCAGAAAGAAATGCAGAGTATCTGCAGAGCAAAAGAAAAGAAAGATGTCCTGGACTGTGCATTTTAGGCATATGCAGTGTATTACTGCCACGGGCGAAGAGCGTAAAATCCATATTAAACCTGAGCCCGTAAAACTGCTGATATTTGACATCTAACATTCCTCAACGTACAGCTGAGGATAAAGTGAAAGCCATAAGTGTGGTGATCTATTTAAAAGTCAAACTAATCCGACCTCTCATCAAGAGAAGTCGGGGAAAGTCTTAAGTCAGCAGATTTGAATGTGAATTTAACGTTCAAAAATGTTAAGTTCGGAAAACTTCAGCCTCTATTTGTGTATGTGAGAAGTGTAAGTACGGTTTTCTCCCTTTATTCCTTTCACTAATTCAATGCATGTAGTCTAACCAGATGTTCCATCCTTCCAAAAAGCCCAATTCAGAATAATTCTGCTTAACACAGCCTGTGGTGCATGACAAGACAAAAATCTAAATATAAAAACAAAATAGCTGTGGGCAAATATGCTGCGTCCGTTAAGAAGAATAAAAATGAAGTCAATCAAACGCTATAATGAAGACTAGCCGAGCGCGGTGCGTGCGCTTCTAAACACAGAAGAACAGCTGTTGAGTAGAAGACTAGTAGCTCATATTTCCTGGCTTTATCTCGCCTTTGCAGCTTTGAATGAAAACAGTTCATGAATGCAGCCTCGTGTGGCCCAGAGAGTGTTTTTTGTGATCTCTGTTGAGCTGCAGGCAGTCGCAGGTCTTTCTGGAACCAGGAGGAATTCCTTGGGCAGCGGAACACTCTTGAAAGAAGCTGATTAAACTGGGAAAATGAGACAAAAGCTGTGATCTGTGTAGATAGC